AGAAGAAGAAGAAGAAGAAGAAGAAGAAGAAGAAGAAGAAGAAGAAGCCATCTTTAATGAATCTCAAAATTTAATTAAGAAAGAGAGGAGAAAGAGAGGAAGGAAAATGAAGGACTTAAGATTTAAAAAAACACCCAAGAAAGAGAAAAATAAGATGCAAAATCAATATAATGCTAGAAAACAAAAGAAAAAAGGAACACAACAGAGAAGGGAAGCTAACAAGGCAGAGGCTAGGAGAAGTGGGGGTAGAAAGGCCTGGTGGGAGAAGAAAGAAAGGGAAAAGGTGGAGAAAAGCCACAAAGTTTTGAAACCAGATGGGAAAAGAGGAATTTTTTTTAGGGACAAAGGGTAATGTATAATTTGTTTTAAAAAAAAGATTCTGCAAGGTACATAAGATAGTACTGTAGCATTTGTATTAGAAATAGAAAATTAGAATGGTTTAAGAGTTAATAAGAGATTAAAATATTGAAATGTTTAGTAATGTATTTAATCATTTTGGATTTATTATCTTTCTTTTTAAAAAATTAGTAGATAGAATGTACCAAGCAGAATCAGATTGGGTATTAGGTGTTATTTTAAATGTTAATTTAGGGGGATGATAGAAAGGCATCATACTCTGATTAGTGATTTCAGGAGAAACTCTTTTTACTTTTTACTATAGGGAATGAGACAAATGGATAATAAAGAATGGACAAAAGATACAAATATAATGACTTAAATTAAAATGAATTAAATAAGATAGAATTAAGAAGAGTGAAATGTGTGGAGAAGCTAATTTAGAAGATATAGAATGGTAAATAAAATAGGTAATGGCATGTAAGATGAGCATGTATATAATTGAAGTCCATGTAGAGAGAGGTTTCTGGGGCCAAGTTACTTTCCTAAAAGATCTTTTATATTTTTGTGTTTTGTGTGTTTATGTATGTGGGAGAATTAATAAAACCTTGCAGGAATATAGAATGAGAATAATGGTAACCAAGTCAGAGAGAAATAGATGATAATTATAAATTGGATAAATATAGAGAAAAATAATAATAGTGAAATTGGATAAGAGTAAAGAGTAATAAAGAGAAATTGGATAAGAGATATTTGTATGCTCATATGGAAATGGTTTAAAACAGAATTATATTGTATAAAATAATGTTTTATTTGACTTGTAAAATTTATAATGGAAAGAGGTTCATGTATTAATGGTTAATGATGGTTTGTTTGTCTTTAAAATTAATAAAAATTGTTTTTTTTAAAAAGAGAATTTAAATGAGGGCATTTCCCTAAAACACACTACTGGGACTATTTCAACACTTAAGATCATTTTATCTGTCCATTCTCAGAAGTACTTTCCATAATCCTAAAGGGGCTTTGTCATGCCCCAGTTGGAATCTGATTCCGAGGGAGAGGTGGAACAGCTGACAGGGAGTGGGAGTGTAGCTTGGGTGGCTGTGGAGGAAACTGGGGAAGGGCACAGGCTGGCTGGGCATTCAGAGGAAGACCCAGGTCCACCCCCTCTTCATCCTAGGGCACATAGGGAGGAATGGATAAGGGAGCAACATGGTTTACAGGGGAGGAAAGGGCCCCGATCCCCTTCTTGGGTTGCAGTTGGGAAGACTGTTTAAAAGGGCAAACTGTGCATGGCAAAATTTCTGGAAGCAAAGCGTGAAATTATTCTGGTTTGTCAAGTCTGAGTACTGGCATCCTCCCAAGTGTGTGTATTTCATTATCTTTTGACGACTTCAATCCTTTATCCTGCCCTGTCTCATTAATTGCTGCAGTTTGGTTTGTGTTGGTTTTTCTTTTTAATTTATATGTACTTTGAGTTTGGACGGAATTTCTTTCTTTTAAAAACTGTTCTTGGGAGAGTTTTTCTCCAGTGGATGATAATTAGACATTGGAGGCCAAGTTGGAGGAATTAAAGGGACTTTATCTATTTTTGTGACTTGGTTGCTTTTGTGCCACACCCCAGGTCATCACAGGCTTCAAATACTAAGCACAGGTAGTCCTCAACTTACAACTCTTCCTTTAGTGATCGTTTGAAGTTACAAAGGCACTGGCTTATGACAGTTTTTCACATAACCACAGCAGCATCCCCATGGCCATCTGGTCAGAACTGAGTTGTGTCGCAACTAGTTCATATTTATGATGGTTGCAATGTCCTGAGGGAGTCATGTGATCCCCTTTTGTGACCTTCTGACAAGCAAAGTCAATGGGGAAGCCACATTCACTTAACAATTGGGTTCCTAACTTATCAACTGCAGTGGTTCACTTAGCAACCATAGCAAGAAAAGTTGTAAGATGGGGCAAAAATTCACTTAACAACTGACTCGCTTAGCAGCAGAAATTTTGGGCTCAATTGTGATTGTAAGTTCAGGACCAGCTGTACTAACATTCAGGCTTTGAGGCTGCCTCTTCTTTCCTAAGAACAGGTTTAGGTAGTCCTCGACTTACAATGGTTCATTTACTGACCGTTCAAAGTTACAACGGCACTGGGAAAAAAAAGTGACTTACGGATCATTTTTCAAACTTACAACCTTTGTAGCATCCCTCTGACCCTGTGATCCAAATTCAGACGCTTGGCCACTGGTTCCGACTTATGACCTTTTACTGTGTCCCAAGATCACGGGATCCCCTTTTGCGACCTTCTGACAAACAAAGTCACCAGGGAAGCCAGATTCACCTAACAACTATGTTAACTAACGTACCAACTGCAACAGAGGTGGGTATTCAGCAGGTTCTGACCAGTTCTGGAAAATCGGTAGTGGAAATTTTGAGTAATTCGGAGAACCAGCAAATATCACCTCTGAATGGAGATTTTACAGTATCCTTCCCCTGCCACGCCCACCAAGCCATGCCCACAGAACCGGTAGTAAAAAAATTTGAATCCCATCACTGGACTGCAATGATTCACTTAATAACCGTGGCCAGAAAGGGACCAGAAAATGGGACCAAAAACTCACTCAAGAAATGTGAATGGTGCAGAAATGTTGGGCTCCAATGGAGGTTGTTAAGCCCAAGGACTATCTGTGCATGTAAAATCCGCTCCTAGTCTTTTTGATGTAAGCATCAGATATTTTTATTGACCTGGTCCCAGGCTGGAAGCATTTGGGCCAGTGGTGGGATTCAAAAATTTTTTACTACGGTTCTGTGGGCAGTGGCTTGGTGGACGTAGTTTGGTGGGCGCAGCAGGGGAAAGTTACTGCAAAATCCCATTCCCTCCCCACCCCACTAACCTGCTTTCCAGCTCCTTTCTCCCGTGCAGGGCGACAAAAGAAGACCCAGCCGATCAGCTGGGACTCGGGAGGCAGAGAAGAGATGGGGGCAGGGCCAGTCAGAGGTGGTATTTGCCAGTTCTCTGAACTACTCAAAATTTCCTCTACCGGTTCTCCAGAACTGGTCACAACCTCTGATTTGGGCTTTATATTCTCGAAAGCACCAGGGGGTCTGCAAATGGTCTTTTCTTACTTCAAGTGCCAAGAACCTGGCTTGGAGGAAACCGTCACGTCAGCGGTCAGTGTCAAGGCTTAAAAAGCGCTTTCCCCCAGCTCTTTGCGTCTCCATCTGAAATATACACAGCCTCGGCTGACATCCTGTTGCTGCCCAAAAGGACCGGCAAATGATTCAGAGTTTTTTTTTCCCCCTCGGTGATTTTTCCAAGGGGGCCGGGCTTAAAATGTGGGGCATGGAATTCAGGTGCCAAGAGAGAGAGAGAGAGCCAAGAGTTGGCCGGTTCCTTCAGCCAGCAGGAGAAGGAAAAGCCCAGCTCCGCGCCATGGAAAGCCACGAGCAGCACCGGCGGACGCCTCAAAGCCCTCGCGGTCCCCACGTAAGGCAGATCTCCGGAGGGAGAGCCTTTTGTCTCGGAAACTGCGGGCGGGTGGTTGGGCTGAACGAGAGCCTAGCGAAGGCAACCGGGAGAAGGCAGGCAGGCAGGCAGGCAGGCAGGCGTCGCCACGGATGGGCTGTCGTTGCGCGGGGTGGCTTGCTCGTCTCTAGTCCCTCCGCTACGGGGGTGGGGGAACCACGGGTCCTTAACCCCATCTACCCACCCCGATCCAGTTAAGGAATACGGGGAGGGGGGGGAGCTCTCCTTTTTAGCTCCGAATTGCCTGGAGTGCAAAACCCAAAACCCACAGAGGTCAGTTTTCCTTCCGCACAAACCAGGGAAGGGAGCAATGGGATGCCCGGGAGCGAAGGAGCGGCGTCGCTCCTCAGCCAGCCGGTGTCTTGCTTTGGAGAAATGCAAAGCTGGAAGGAGGAAGCTCGTCCCCATCCTTAGGCGAGGCGGCTCCTCTGACGGGATTCCCACCCACCCACAGGGGAAAAAGAGAGAGAGAGAGAGAGAGAGAGAGAAATTGCTTTCTGGATCTGATCAGCAGCCTTTGCATCTTGGATGGGCGGGGGGGGGGCAGGGGTGAAGGGCAGGGAGGCGGGCAGGGTTGAACGCTAAGGGAAGGCAAGCTCTGGCAGTTGCCTGATAAAAGTTCAAGGGTGCTGCTTATCTCCGGATCCCCGCGACTTCCAGCCAGGCGCTTGTCCCCACGTGCTTTTACTCCGGTGTCGCTACAGCTCCGCTATTTTTCCTTGGCGATCCCAGCCTCCTCTCCCGTCCATCTCTCTCATGTCTAGGGCTGAACTGGAAAGATTGACGGTGCTCTCTAATGTGAGGAAGGAAGGGAGGGAAGGGAGGGAGGGAAGGGAAGGGACACACACACATCACAAAAGCATACACACACACACATCACGAAAGCATACACACACACACACACATCACAAAAGCATACACACACACACACACACACATCACAAAAGCATATTGTTGTTGTAGTTATCATAATCACCTTTTGTTGATTCTCTCAATATTTTATCAAAAATAACCTCATCAATTATACTTGATTCATTCCTTTTTTCATATGCATACATGAATGTACAGATGTATATATTCAAAATATTTTTTAAAGAGATACAAACTAAATAAATATTTTTCTAATTCATTCTTAGATCTCTGAGTAATCAGTCACTTTTTCTATGCAGTTCTCATTCCAGCCATCCATTCATGTCACCCCCAGAATTATATTTTCACTTGAATCTAATTATTATGCTCCGTTCTGTGCAATTGTAATCAACTCATTCCTGTTTTTCCTCTTGTTAACCTTGTAATGCAACATGCAGACACATGTGACCAACTTATAAATCCCTACTTTCATATGCATTCACAATACCCAAGATGACATCAAGTCATTTTTCAACATATATTTAGTTATTTCATTCATAATTAAACCTACACCTTTATTTTCCTGTATCATCTATGTATCATTTCTACTAGCCATCTAGAATCCCTTTTGAATAGTGAAATGAGTGGCATATATATTTAATAAATAAATCAATAGATCAGACTATCTTCTTCAGTTATTACTTCCATCTCCTTTCTCTTAGTTTTTCCATTTTAATTGATTTTTTTTCCAGTCATTAAGTCACACTTTTTGCCATTTATTCCTATATACATTTCAAATCGTAATCCTTCCATATGTTATGCTGTTAACAGATGAGCCTCTACAAATTGTTTCCATCATTCATCATGACTTTGGTGAATTTGGATTTTCACATCCAAATGTTTAGCAAGATAATGGAAAAAGTAGACCAAGTTATCAGCCTTATATGTATCTTTTTCTGCTTGCAGATTTTCTGCAGCAAAAGAACTGTATGTACCTATGTGGTTGTTTTTTTTACATTTCAATCATTGTACTTCAAATGGAATCAAAGCCCCCTTTTATCCATGCATGCTTTATGCTCATCTATGTAAGCCAGGATCTCTAACTTAGAATCTACCATGCAAGCTAGTATAATGTTGTCTGTGTTCATCAATTAAGAGATATCCACAGTGCATTGACATAGAGTCAGGATAGGCTATGATACCTTATGATTCTTGACTCTTCACGAATGTATCTTTTCTTTTATGTACACTGAAAGCATTTGCACCAAGACAAATTCCTTGTGTGCCCAATCACACTTGGCCAATAAAGAATTCTATTCTATTCTATTTGGTGTTCCTGAGATTAATTAGTGCTGCTTACAGTTCCATATCTGAAGTACAATCTGGAAACCATTTATTAAATTCCAGGCTCACTTTACTCTGAAGTATCCTTTAATTGGACTCAGAGGACCATATCAGAAATGTATGATTATTTATACATATATAGTTTCAATAAGCTAGGTTTTTTTATGTAAACAGCATTGTAAAAAAGATGGTATTCTATCCTGTCCCTCCTTCTCTTAATCAGGAAAGGATATCATCAAAGAAAGGAAGAGAAACAAGGAGAGGAAGAAAAAATTCACTAAAACGAACAAAAAAAAAAATAGAATGAACTGTTATTAAGACATAGAACCATGATGGCGCAGTAGTTAGAAGGCAGTATTGCAGGTTAATTCTGCTGACTGCCAGAAGTTCGATTCTCACCGGCTCAAGATTAACTCAGCCTTCCATCCTTCTGAGTAAAAGGAGGACCCAGATTGTTGGAGGAAATATGCTGACTCTGTAAACCGCTTAGAGAGAGCTGTAAAGCATTGTGAAGCGGTATATAAGTCTAAGTGCTGTCGCTATTGCTATTGAATAACTATACAATGTTTGTGTGGGACCCAGGCTTCCCTATGAACAGAATACATCAGGAGTCAACAACCTGGAGATACAATTACTTAGTTAGGTATTTAGCTAGGAGTTTTTAACATTTTCCTAACATGTTTGAAGGAGAGGATTTGCTTAGGAATTTGCTTCTAGATTTTGGCAGCACAATCTTGGTAGCATGATGGCTAGGAAGCAACAACAAACATTTTTGGAGGGCCACATACAATCCCTGGACTTCTGATTAGAGAGAATGGAATATCAGCAGTTAGATTAATCTAGTTAAGTTAAAGTAACTATTCATTCATCTTTACTTCCTTGGTGTGGAAGAAGTTTAACAGAAATTACTGAACATGGTTGGAACAATCAGTCTAGTGAGGATTGATATGAGAATGTCCACTGTGGACCTCACCCCATTCTTAAGAAGTCCTTAAAGGGGGCATGCATAAGTGCACCAGTATGCCTACTATCCCTGTCTTACTGTCTCCATTTATATCTGTGTTTACGTCCTTTGTTCTTGTTTATGCTCATACTTATACTTGTTATCTTGTACATGTTTGACAAACAAACAAACAAATAAATAAAAATAATATGGCTGATGTAGAGGTCAAGGACAAATGAGCTGTACAATGTGGGCATATATTAATATGTGTTCAAGAGAATAGCTCACCGGTTACAGTTCAGTCCTGTGGATAAATTATAGGAAGCTCTGCTGATTTGTTTAGGGATTTAAGCTGGCCAGGAAGAAAACTAATTTCATGCCCAAGACCTGAAGCCTACAAAGAGGGAGAAAAATGGATTACTTTGAGAATTTGCTAAGTAGAAGACATAGGATGGTCATGTCTCTCTTGAAAAATAATGAATAATTATTTCTATGCTTTATAAATCCTACAGCACAATTCTAAGTGAAACCAAATTCTGGGATTCATTTCTGAATAGGATGGCATGCTTCTCCTTGGAGACAGAGGAGGGCAGGGTGAGACACAGACACTGCTGGTTCCACAAAATGTAATTATTTCCCATCTTTGCTTCTTCACTAGAGTCTTTCACCAATAACAGTCATCACTGGAATTAAATTTCAGCGCAGCAATCAGACTAATCTTTTGTACCGTACATCATAAATAGTCAAACCTTTGCATTAAAACACCGTTCCTTCTCTCTTCAACCCCCCAGTTTCTTTTGTTTTGACTGGCAATTTTTAATTTCCATCCTTTAGGTCCATTAACTACTTGAAGCTGTCATGCTGGATTGCTTACAGGCCATTAAGCGCATTAGATGTTTAGATATACACCTAAAGATGGCCTGCAAATCAGTAACGCTAAATGTACTCTATATACTAGTTAAGAATCAATTAATGGCTTCACTATGATCCAATGTTTTTTTTTCTGATAAGCAGGTGCATTTTTACAAGCAACAGAGTATTGTACAGGTAGTCCTTGACTTACGGCCACAATTGTGCCCAGAATTTCTGTTGCTAAGTGAGAAATCTGTTAAGTGAGTTTTGCCCCATTTTATGACTTTTCTTGCCACATTTGCTAAGTGAGTCACTGCAGTTGTTCAATTAGTAACAAGGTTGTTAAGGGAATCTGGCTTCCCCATTGACTTTGCTTATCAGAAGGTTACAAAAAGTGACCCCATGACCTGGAACTCTGCAACCATCATCAATATGAGTCAGTTGCCAGGCATCTGAAATTTGATCATGTGATCATGGAGATGCTGCAACAGTCATAAGTGTGAAAAATGGTCATAAGTCACTATTTTCAGTGCCGTTGTAACTTTGAATGGTCACTAAATGAACTGTTGTAAATCGAGGACTATCCGTATTGTTTTTGCTTTTACCATTAGTCTTTAGATTGTTTAGGGAGTTGTGAATGATATTTACAGCAAATACTTTGGATAAAAAGTGTGAGTGTTTGGTTAATGCTTGCCAGCTAGGAAAGTGAGAGGTGGAATGGTAGAAATGTCAGTGTTACAATCGTATGTACATCTTTGAGGCACAGATATCATGCGAAGCTAAAATATGTTGACTTTGCTTTGAGTTTAATCTGAAACCAGCCACTGTGATTTGTGATTCATTTAATAAATGATGGCTTAGCCTGTGGTATGAACTGGGCTCAATAAATAAAGATTTGCAAACATAGATTTTTAAGGATTAAGATTTTGAAGAATATGACAATTTGAATGACTTTTGAGAAAGAAGATAAAGG